CATTCCAGGATCTCTAGATACGCCACTGAGTATTGGCCTCTGAATCAATTGAAAAGTCTAACATTCATTTAGAAATTTAAAAAATGTGGCCACATGACAAATAAATTTTAGACGTCATATCTCCGCCCACGATTAAATCCACGACGGTTTGATGTCTATCAACTCGTACACGATAAGCCAAGCTAATTATCACACTTACACTCGTCTCAAAGTTTGGCACGTATGCCCATCTTTTTTATACTGAGAGACAACGGATTTTACCATTCAACTACTTCTCTTTAAACCAGCCATGTCATGGTAATTTGGCTCTATTATAATCATATGCCAATATCGACTGCATTCTCTGAATTAATATAACGGAGCATGTTCAACCACAGAAAGTGAGGAGGTCGATTAAGTAATGAATATCAATTCTTTGGAAAGCTGGGGTGGAATATTGTCTAAAAGGTTTCACCAATTTCTAGATCTGCCCATACAATGGCCTCCATAATCTGCCAAAAATAAAAGATGTAAGTGCAACTAGGCCTACTTTCCTCCTCCATGGCCTATACCTTCTAATTCTGACCATACAGTATCCTATATTAAATCCACATTATGTTTGAACCATTTTTGCTGATTGAACATCCACAAAATATTGCCAATATAGGTTGGTTGGATTCAGTGATGCCGTTCCAGACAAGGGGTCCGAACCAAGACGTGGCCGCCCAGCGCCTCTGGCCAGGGTTCATGGTTTTTTTTTTTTTTGTTTTTTTTTAAATATAATGGATAAGAAGCGTCTTAGACCACAATATTATTATTATTAGGCCTATTATTATTATTAGTAGTATAGTATTAATATTAAGGAACTGCAAACACTCACAGTAACTTTGGTTGAATGAATCAGCAAATGTTTTAGTCCGATGACCACAAAGATATTAGACGACGTCAGAGAATTCTAGCTTGTCAATGAGGAAATCCCCTGACATTTTCTGACGCCGTAAGTGTTGGTTTTGCCTTCGACCGGTTCCGATGTTGCAGGTATATGACCCACACAGTCCAAGAGTATTATAGTCTAGAACCTGACTAAGATTTGTATGCACTTCATTTAGGAGAGAATTTCTCAACTGTTATAGACTAATATGGACCCTAGGAATAACATGGAATGTGTGCCAAAATCTCTATCTGGGACGAACAGCCCGAAAATGACCACGCCCTTTATTCAATGACCACGCCTCCTTTTTATAGGGTAGGGGTATTTTGAAATTAAGCTAGACTGTATAAGAAAATAGCAAATGAAGGGGTTTTGGTTCTAAATGAGCACACATGACAAGGGAATTAAATTCCTAAATTTACGTCTCAGTCACATTTTCCGTTCATATGCAAATTATCTTGAATATGCAAATTAGGAGTGAAAAAATAGGGTTCCCATGTGCTGAGAACCGCTGGTCGTAGCGAGTTCCTTCTTTTTTTAATTGTTCAGACCATGCATATTTCTATTTGCTTTAATGTGACATTTGCTTAAAAAATGACCGGAAATGCCATATTTGACCTTTGACCCTATTTGCAAATTTTCCATATTCCCACGACTACTGACTGTAAAAAGTTTGTTTTGGTCTCAAACTATGCATATTCAAGTTCTGATTCACTGTGATTCACTCAGAAATTGCACAAACTACGTTCCTGGCCTTTGACCCTGCAGGCCAATTTGCAGCTGCAATACCATAACAACAATTGGAGAGTGTTGATTTTGGTATAAATTGTCTAGAAGTTAAAATCTTATATCAATCTTGGCAGATTATCAGAAAATGATGAGCAATATTTTATTTTTAATTACACTATCAACAAATGCTATTTTTAGGATTTGTAATGAAAAATATATTTAAAAAAAACTTATTACATCCTCTAATAGGCAGCAGAATGTGAGTAGTTTATTAATTATATAGAAATTGTATTTTCAAGCATTCTATTTTAATCTTGAAGATATTCCCCGCACGATTAAAATCGTAACGGTAGTAGGTTTGGTCTACGGGAGAAAACGTACCTGTCGTTAGCCATAGTAGCCTAGGTCAATACTAACTCCGGCTATATAAAATTGATTATAAGATTGAAAAATATTAATCTTATTATTGTAGTAGTGATACTATGTACACGTTTTAATTATTGTTATTTATTCATTAACGTTATTATATTTACATTTAAATTTAATGTATTGTTTTAGTATGAATTACTATGTCCATGTTAAATTAATCTTATTTATTAAAATTGTATATTTAAATAATATAGTAATAGGCATAGCCGAGGTCTAGCCTAGGCTAGGCCTAAACAAGTGACTATATATGTGAGTGTATAGAATTATGAAAAATATGAATAAAAACGCAAAATTGTGAAAGAATAAAGTAAGAAGGAAGAATAGGAAAGAGATTTAATGTTTATGTAAATTCGATTTCGAATTATGAAAAGTGTAGGCTGTGGCACCGATACCTCTGACGATTAGTGCCCAAAAATGTTTACAAAAACGTAATGCAATAATGGCATATTGACTACCGGTACTATTATATATTTTCGGAAAATATTTCACCCGCTCCAAATCTCTTTTCTATTCTTCCTTGTTGCTTTATTTTTTCATTAATTTTAATTCATAATTTTATACATTAAACATATAGACACTAGGCTAGGAGGCCTAGGCTGGGCCTCAGCTATGCCTATTATTATATTAATTAAATATACAATTATAATAGATAAGATTAATTTAATATGGAAATAGTAATTCATACTTAAACAATACATTAAATTTAAATATAAATAATATATATAATATCGTTAACGAATAAATAACAATAATAGTACATAGTATCATCACTATTACAATAATAATAATATTTTTCAATCTTATAATCAATTTTATATAGCCGGAGTTAGTATTGACCTAGGCTACTATGGCTAACGACAGGTACGCTTTCTCCAATATAAAGGCTTTTTCTGTGAATGGAATAACCTGTACGAAACACGAACTCTTGTAAACCAAACCCAGAACCGTTACGATTTTAATTGTGCGGGAAATATCCTCAAGATGCAGTACAGATGGCAGAAACCTTTTTGGTCAAGTGTTTTAAACCATCAACAGACCTTGAGGCATTTGACGATCTACGCCTTGCTGCATTTGATAGCAATACCCTCAAGATGGACTTTGGGAGAACAGCTTGTACCTCAACTAATGCAAGAAAACATATCTATAGAAGCTACCAACAGCAGCTGTGTGTGTTCAAGCCCCATTAGAGATGCCACATCAATTACCAATGCTGAGAATTTTGGTTTTGTAAGGAGTGGTAGTTTATTAGTCCCTGATATTGTGATCTCAAAACCTGATGGCCTGCCAGATCCCTGCACGTGTGGCAAATGTGCTCGCAAGAATTCGTGTCCCTGTAGAAGAGCTAGAATAAAGTGTTGCAAGTACTGTAAATGCAAGGGTGGCGATTGGGGGTCAGTGCATTTGTCCTAATGTCCTTTGTTCCGAAGGACCTTTGGTCCGAAGGTCCGTTGGTCCGAAGTAATTAATTCAAATATAGACAAAAATATATTTGAAGAAAACACATGTTCGGGACCACCACCTAGGTCTATATTGGCTAACAATATACAATTATTGCTAGCATGACTTGTCAGCTCAGTTTATGTATATTTTCAACAAATTATTAGGATTTGAAAAGATTCCAAGCGAATGGAGCGTAAGTATAACTTCCTAATGTTGAAGCAGGAGACAGAAAACAATAGGGGAATTCAAGTAACTTCCATTCGGTGTTTGGAAAATCTTAAGAGCTTTATTTACTTATGGCCGATGGGAGTTAACTACTTTCTCACTTTCACAAAATAGACACATTAAAAATGGCGGCGAAAGCATCGAGGGGGGAGGGGGGGTAAATGAAGGGCAAGGTATGAATTTTTTCTCCTCGACGGGAGAAAAGTGAGCGTGGTGTCAATTAAAATGTTTCGGAAGTGGTCCATGGGGCGGATCCCGGGAAAATGTGACAATTAATTTAGGGGTTTCAGAGGGTTATTCAATCAATTCTAAATAGATAATCTACTAATATGTAGAAAATACATATATATTTTTTCTCCCCGACGAATTGTGTTTTTTTTTCCACTCTTCAGGGGGGTGGGCAACAAATTTTCTAATGGGAATTTTCACCTACCCCTGTGCCCCACTGCACATTAGTAAAATAAATAATAGTAATATTTATTTTAACAATACTAATAGTAATAATACTAGTATGGTAATAATAACGATATTTAAATATCAATTTTAATAACTAATTAGTGATAATAACGATATTGAAAGTGATAATAGCAATAATACAACAATAATAAATTAAAGATAATGTTTATTTTTATAATAATAGTAATACTAATTATTATTAATAATAATAATAATAATAATAATAATAATAATACTTATAATACTAGGCCTACTTAGTAATAATAGGGTAATATTATCGATAATAAAGGTGACAACAATTCAACAACAACAATAATATTAATAATAATAATATGAGTAAAATACCAATAAAACATGTCCCCAATAACAATAACTTTTTAAATTACTATTATTAAAATAATAATACTAAGACTAATAAATAATAATAATAATAATAATAATAATAATATTAATAATAATAATAATAACAAAAATCGAAAATTATTTATTATTTATATGGTACTGTAATAATAATAATAATATCAGCAAAAATTTGAACAATATATAATGTTAATGCTAAGACTAATAATTACCGGATAGAGATTTTGGCACACATCCCATGTTATTCCTAGGGTTGATATTAGTCTATAACAGTTGACAAATTCTCTCCTAAATGAAGTGCATACAAATCTTTGTCAGGTCCTCTACTATTAACAACTCCCTCCATACGGCACACGATTTTATGCTCCACATTCATTGAAAAAATGTGATGCCTGTATCTCGATTCTTCAAGCAACTTGGACTCTGCTCTGAATTTTTGACCTGGAGCATGTGCTTTAATGATTTGGATTTTAGTACGCTTGTATTGTAATCTTTTGTTCGTTATACTGTAATTTTCTTGTATCTTTTGTGATTTAATCATTATTTACACATATATATTATACCGGTACCAATTATTAATTAGCTTATTACAATAATCATCAATTAGAGGCTACATTATTTTATTATTATTAAATCACATACATGAGTCCAGACGATTTTGAAACTCGGATTTTGGCGGGAAATTAAATTGTTTATAAAAAAAAAATAATAATACGCTGTACGGTACTTCCTGAGTTTCTTGATAGAGCACTTGTAGCAAGCGATGAGTTGTGCGATTTGAACCTAGAGAAGTTAATTCGAGTTTCCTGTGCTGAGGTGCAGTAGTACAGTCACTACTTGTCAACCGTTCTATTCTTGATCTTTCTGCCGCGCAGAATGTTTTCTGGGGACAGTGCTTCGTAGAGTACTTGTTCAGAAGCACACTCCTGAACTGTCCAACTATAAGAAGCAGAATGCTAGTAGCGATCTGAGCAGTAGATAATTACATTCATATGACGTTCTCAGAAATTTTATATTCTTGAAGTTGTTGGAGTTTCTAACAGCTGTCTCGAGTTGATTAGTGACTAATTCTGGTCAATAATTACGGTACGCAAATCAGGTTTCTGTAAGTACTACGATTGTTATATTATTATCTTGATTTTATCATCCTGCGATCTAAAAATAAACAAAAAATAAGCCGCAGGAACACAGAGGAAGTACTGTTATGTACATTGGAACCGGTTATAATTCCATCGATCTTTAACTAATTTTGCTTTTCTCCTACCTTCCTAACACTACCTATTATTTACTGTTAAAGCATAACGTGCCGAATTTATTAGTATTAGTATTTTTATTATTATCATCATCGTCACCACCACCGCCATCATCATCATCATCATTAATATCATCATTATCATCATCATCATCAGCAACAACAACAACAACATCATTATCATCATCACCATCATCATCATGATCATCATCATCATTATCATCATCATCATCGTCATCATCTACATCAACATCATCATCATCATCATCATCATCATCATCATCATCATCATTATAATAATTTCTCTAAATTAGACTTAAGGGAAATATTTTTAGTGTTATTTTCCCCTTAACGTCATGTTATTTTCCCCTTAACGTCGTTTTCTTAAATTTTTCTCTAATTTCTCCATTGTCTAAGTTCCACTTTAAAGGTATGGTGGGTTTTAGTAACATCATTATACTTTCTTATTTTTATTATTATTATTATTATTATTATTATTATTATTATTATTATTATTATTATTATTATTATTATTATTATTATTATTATTATCACATATGATTATATGATTATTAATATATTTTCTATACATTTTGTCTTGTGAAGGTTTAAAAAAGAAAAGAAGGCCTAGCTTCACCACTAGACACATTAGATGAGTATAAAAACAGGTTATTTATTTGGTGTTACCAATTTGCCTGGAGCGTAGACCTATAGGCCCATAGGTCTGTGCTTAATGTATAAAGTTGAAACGGAAATAAACGGAATTAAAAAAGCTTGTCATTAGTAATAATGTTGGATTTCCTTGACGTACGTCAGTCAGTTTCTATAATTATGATTCTAATCAATTATCTCTAGGAGTTTGCAGGGTGTTTTAAATTGTGCCGGTAAATCGCTGCAAGCAAACACGTCGTTACTGCTATTGCATGATATATCCACTTCCGAATGGTCATCGGAGGGTCAATTAATTCCTATTCTGCATAGTTATAATTTCTGCCAGAAATTTAATTACTTTTGTAGGGTAACGATTGTGAACCATCTTGCAACTTATTAAGATTGATAACTTGCGGGTATTTTCTTGATTTGTATGTTTTTGTTTAGTGAGGAGGAGGAGGAACGTTCAGTATTTCATTAATGTCACGTGATTGACAATTAATTAATTGCGTTTTATGCAACTTGACCGGTGCTTAATGGGAAACTTAAAAGAGTTTTCGGGTTGGCTTATCAGCTCAGTTGATGGGTTTTTAAGGTGTTATTTTACATTTAAAAAGAGTTATCCTACGTACAGAATATCCCTTCAAAAAGTCCTTAAAAGTAATAGTGAGCAGAATGGCAATCAATAATGTGTCTTGAGAATCCTGACGACGGTGATAATGTTTTATAAAGACACGATTATTTCTTTAGCAATAAACAGCAAAATTTATTGAAATTAGGACTTGATAATTACCTATAAAGTGTTTTTACATCATTAGGTCTGATTGTATTGTTCAAATTCGATTTGGCGCTTGCATCTCCTTTCAATGAATTAGCCAACTAGATTTTGTTAAAGAGGTCAGGGTTAATTGTTATCACATTGAAATGATTTAGCCTACTAACCTCGAGTAATAGATATTCTATAATCAAATCGAGCTAAACATCAAATTTATATTTGGCGAAGAGAACAGAAACTTTCTCAATTCACCAAAAGTAAAATTACATAAATTCACACGACGCTAATTTTTTAATCTACTTACAGTTATCAAAACGCCTTAATATGATACTGCGCTGAACCGTGGAGAACCATGAGGCGGATCCAGTAGGGGCACGGGGGCACGTTCCCCCTGTTTTGCTACTAAATTTTCAATGCAAATCAACGTTATTTGCTACTCACTTACCTATTCTGAGACATGTTGTGCCACCCACCCCCGCCCCCACCCCGTCAATTCCCATCACTGCTCTCCTTGTGTTTCAGCTGGAGGGCTGAATTACAAGTTACAAACCCGCACCGTCTTTCGGGTGCCGTTGACCCCGTGTGCGATGGTCCATGGGTACGTACGTTAAAGGACGCAGTACACTCTTCGGAAAAGAGTAGAGGATTGTCTCCTGGTGTATACTGCCCAATTCACCACCAGAAGAACCCCACAGAAAACAAGTCGGACTTAATGGTTTATCCTTGGTGTAACTGACACCACAAAATAATCCTGCCTGATCATGAAATATAAAACAACGATTTCAATACTTGAATTGTTCTTTTGCATATTTATTAAGTGCAGTACCGGTAAGTCATTAACTTCCAATTTAATCCTAAAGAGATTTCTTTTTCTCTGCAGTTAACGCAGTAAACCTTCCTGTAGTGTCAATCAGACTTAACAGTTGATCAAAGAAAATAGGCCAGGAATACGCGCATATCCTACTGAGACTTTAAATGTTTTTACGTTGTATTGTGGTACTTAGCAATAATATCAAAGGGGAACAGTCCGTTGGACCTACTTTGCATAGGTATAATTGGCAGGTATCTGGATTCCGTATATAATGTTAGTGGAGCATGCGTGTAATCGAGGCCCTATTCTGATTGATCAATTTAATTGAAACTAGTACGGGAAGGTTTACTGCGTTAACTGCAGAGAAAAAGAAATCTTGACTTACCGTTACTGTAATTGATAAATATGCAAAAGAACAATTTAAGTATTGAAATCATTGTTTTATAATTCAGGCATGAGAATTTTTTGGTGTGAATCACACCCCGTGAACCTAACTAGGGATTTTTATTGCGGGACCCTAACCGAGGCTCTGTTTGGACTCCGCTTCCGGACATCGGACCCACTTGTCAGAAAATTTCTGAAGCGACCGTTGCTTTATTGAAAGTTCAATTACATACTTAATGCTTCTAATTAATGAGAAATTTAATGTTTTTATTGATTTTGTAAATGGTTTTTGCTGATTTGACCACAGACCCATAGGCCTATTAAGGTATGTTCCGGGAATGTGGTCGCGGAATGCTTAATTTTGCTTAATATCCTTTCGTCAATCATGACTATTCTAAATTCCGGCATTGACAGTCTTATCGGTAAAACCTACTATAACATTCATTTAAAATGTCACATGACGTAATGTGACACGGTAATCATGCTACATAGTTAATGTTATAATGAGTGAAAATCCGAGCCTTATTGAGTTGGTACAGGAAACGTGAACTAAACATGAAAATTCAATTTAACGAATTTAGCGTTACAGTAAACAGACATAGATCCTGTTATGTTGTTTTATACAGAAAAAAAATGAATTCAAAATGTATTTTGTTTAATATTCCAACACATTATTTAAACACGCAAACAGTTCTCACAAAGATGTTTTTTCAGATTTTTTTTTTACCCATATTCTCTGAGTGTATCTAATGGTAGCGGGGATAATGTCTACTTTTATCTGTACTTGATTATTTGTTGTGAGTGGCATGTCTACTGCAACTGGTTAGGTATAGGCTTTTACTTTTTTTCTAAGCTATTAGGCCTATTACTGCTAAATGCAAGTCACCAAAATCAGAAACCAATTTGGCAAACTGAGAGGATGTTCCATAATAAGTCAGCTCGTAATCGTCTGCGTCTGTCCATTAAATTACATTTTTCTCGTTTAGTTAATTGTTTTGAATATATTTTCTATTGTTTTGATTTGATTTGACGGTTTTATATAGTTATTTGTCAATGACATCTCACATTAAGTTTGTTTTTAAGAAAATGAAAAAAAAAATCAGTCATTTATGCGCAAATTGTAATATAACTAAATTGACTTATTTGTATATAAATTCGTCACTATTAATTAAAAATATATATTGACCAGGGGTGCGACTAGAGATGACAAAGCCCAACACAAAGTGGTCACCTGTAAACCCCTGGCCAATAGCAAATAGGGTCAAGATATCTAACACCAATCACTGCATTGTGGGCTCACGTGAGGCGTTAAGCTTATGCATACTTATACATTAGTCCTATAAGAAAGATGGATTTGCTTATATGAATTTAAATTGGCGGGATATATCTATCAGAATTATGATCATCCCCAGGTCTCTGTAAATATGACTAACGTGACAATTCACAGCTACATCAGCAGGCATACAACCCTTTTAGCTGACCTGCCGTCGGAAAGACCTCGATAGGCAACCTTATTCCTGAACGATCTGACAAAGACGATGACTAATTCGTCTATGTATACTACGACCCTGGCCAGCTAGTAGAAATGTTCTACAGTACTTTAGAATAATGTAAATAAAGGCCTCTAGCAAGTATAAAGTCAGATATGGTCACTGATGGAGTAAAAAAAAAACCCTCAAATAACCAGTACTGTACATCAGTTCAGCATCAATATTACAAGTATTTTGAACTCACCGCACAAACCTAAAACAAACCACAAAAGCCACCACCTTCAGTTTGATGATATCTGATGTTACCGTCAACATTGCATTGCACACTTTCCTTGTTATAAGTCTGTGAGAAGTATAGGCCTACTGTAAATCGAAATAGAGTTTTGTTTTGATAATCTATTTTTAATTGCAATAAAATACTAAAATTGAGTTTAGGAAACCGATTCTTCCAGTGGGCTGTTCAGGCATTTTACTAGCCTTACTGGAATATTGTATATTCTCTTTTGTTATGAAAAAAACTTGTAGGATATAATATCATCAACGATTTTAAGAGCTAGGCTAATTTAAACCCAGTTACACTGAGACCCGCATGAGGAGATTGAGAGAATTGGAGCATTCTATGAGCGGAATTTAGAACCATTTGGAAAAATGGGAGCTAAAAATGTTCGGTCGCAATGTCAGATATTTAACAAATTTCCAAACCCTAAGACTTTGGTCAGTCTTGTAGAACAATAACGTTCGGTATCCCCACCTGCAAGTGAATCCCAGCCATTGTCATTGCATTTAACCATGGGCGGATTTAGGGGGGGCGCACCTTATATCACAAACATTTTTTTTTTTTTTTTTTTTTGAGATATTTGAATGGATACACAATTCCATTGAAAGGTTGACTCATATCGCGCAATGCTTAGCTACATAGACAGTTTAAGCGCAGATGCACCAGCATGGAAACCTTTGTGCAATCAATCACTCTCTATCGAGGTCAGCAGGTATGTGCTGTCAGAAAACCCCATGCACAGTGACCACCGTACAGTACACTGATATGTGTGCATGTCTCCATTGACGACACCCCTTTAGTAGACTTACTCTTTTAATAAAGTACAGTTTTTGTGTAGACAACATTTGACACTTTTGACGTGTAAGTTTTGCTTCCTTATGGTTTTCAAGTACAGAACCTGGTTTAATCATATTGTGTAATTTAAAAGATATACTGTATGAAATTGTATAATCCTGTTGTCTCTAATTGACATGAAATAGTGGCGCGTAACAGGTGGGGAGGGGGAAGACTGCCCCCTGAAGGTTTTTACCCGGCTGAACTAGCCGTCGTATCGGGCTGGGTAATAAGAGAAAAGAAAGAGGGGAGAGGGAGGGAAAGAGAAAGAAGAGGAAGAGAAAAGGAAAGGAAAAAGGAAAAAGAGGAGAGAAAAATAAAGACAAGAATAAAAAGGAAGATATCATAATGACCATCCCCTGAAAGTGCCTAAAAATCTCAAATTTCTTGTCAGAGTAGGCCAATTTCCTCTAAAAATTGCACTTTTTCGGGATTTTGGATCAATTCCGACGAAATAGTTACACCCACAGTGTTTAAGTCTTCTTTTCCTACCAAAAACATCATAGGAGAGTGCTTCATGAATCCACTTAGTGAGAAATAGAACACTTGTAATTTACTCAGTGTTAATATACAGTAGCGGATTTTGTTGTTTGACGACTTTTTTAACGGTTTTAGGATATTAGTTTTCCTTTTTGCTGATTTTGTGATTTTTATGCTCAATGTTGCTGAGAAACTTCATCATGTTTTCTGGAAGTGAAATTTCTCTTTTAAAATGGTGTACATTTATGAGCCTTTGTATGTTGTCAAAGATTATGTTGTGAATAGATGAATTATTACTAATTTAATGACACGTGTCATAGTTGCATTTTGCAGGTACCCTTTATATTAAAATTTCTTTTAAAAGACATACACCTATTATTTTTTTTAAAATTTATTTGTTACTGAAAACTACCATGCTAGATAGTCAACATCGACTCAATACAACCTCATATTCCTCAAATGTGCTGGACCCCCACCAGGGGCTCTGCCCTGGACCCCGCCAGGGGGCCCTGGGCGGCCCCCTGGCCCCCAGCCTAAGGCTGCTCGCTTCGCTCGGACATTATACCCCCCTTTTTTTTTCTGGCAGGCTGCATCCGTCCATGCCCTCGGTGCTTCGTATTTTGGCTGGTCGTCCATCTTTACTTTGACGCCCCCCCCCCCCCTTATGCTAAGTCCTGTATCCGCCCCTGTTAACCATATGCTTCCTGTAAGAGATGCAATCAACCATCCAATACCCTACAGTCGATGACATACCCATACTCTCAAATCAAAGAGATGGGAGACGACATGTGTTTACCCCGTTGGTGGAAGCAGAGACACGGTGGGTCTGGTTATACGTACGTCATACAATTGTTATATGCTGCTCTCGTATTTTTGTGAGAAAATACAACAAAATCCTTGAATCAAGAAGCTATAAAACATCAACACAAGTAATCAGACTTTGATTCTGATTCTCGTTCTCTCATCAGAAAATTATTTTATCCTAATAATCATTTTGATTATAGTCGTGTGAAGCTTTTGCCGAAAATAAATTTAATTAATAATCACATGGTTCACTCTTCGATGCTTTTTTAATGCTGAAGTGGATATTTAGGTTCCACTCCTGAATCCGATGGTGTATTTAGTATAAAGCGTTCCCTGATTTTACCTCTTCAACAATATTTGCAATGTTACACAGCTCAGTATACTTTTGTGCCTGTCAGATTTACGCTATGGTAACTGCACAGTCCACAATGTGATCACCTATTGGTGTTATCCACCGTGTTAATTATTATTAACCCCATAATACTCTTTAAATGTTGGCAAATGTTTTTTGTACCTCTTTTTGATAATTGTAATTCTGTCTGGTCGAATTGTAATGATAAACTTTTCAAATTCTCTTTCAAGTAAGCCTACTAGTTACTAAATAGACTAGGACGAATTTTACTCTCCGCAGATATAAAAACCCCTGTTGTAGATATGTTAATTCTTTAGGATGATACAAACTTACCGATAAATGGCATACTTTGTTTGTTATATAAAGATATGATCAGGAGATATGAGCCTGAATGCTTAATATAATTATGTTAACTATCCTACAGTTTTTCTCATTCTGGTCACGGGTGAGAAAGCTTGTTACTCTACAGTCGGTGAGTTTTTAATTAAAAATACAGTAAACTATAAGGAAAATATCCCGCTGATTAATATAAACGAGTGGTACTTGATTTCTTGCTTCCGAAGAGGCATCCATTAGTATAAGTTTGATGAAGATAGCCTATCTAATAGTGACTTACCTCAAACTTTAATTGACAAGGATTGAAATATGTTAATTATAGACACAAAGTATACTACATAGTCCAGCTTAGAATACGTAATAAAGTATGTACCATCTCTAATAAAGCTGAACAATATAAGTATGTATAATTATGTTTATGGTAAAATAAATTTAACGTAAATAATGAAAGAATAAAGGAAGAAACAGAGCAAAAAATCGCAGCTTCATATATACCGAAAGTTATACAATAATAATAATACTTATTATATTTTACTTAAGCTTCTAATTTCAATTGTACCCCTTTCTCTTCATCTGAGTTTATTGGCAAGCATGGAAAGTGACGTCCACAGATCCTTGAAAATGAGGAAATTGCACTGAATTGGGGAAAAAACCCCGCTCAGTAACATTTGTATGTAAATATTACCATTGAGACATATTTTTACACATTTTTAACTATTTAACCGCAATTAATACGGATGAAGGAATTTAATTTTCCTCTTGCAATTATTCTGTCTGTATATTGTGGATTATGGTAATTAGCAACCCTGAATTTTTGAAGTTCGGCGTTTTAGTAAATATATGAGGAAAAAATAAAACAGTGATTTCAGTCATTGAGAGAGGGGGATACGAAAGGGTAAGTCCGGGATATGATTCAAGATAGCCGGAGGTAATGTTATACGATATTTCTCAAAATCTGACTTTGACCTCTGTTAAAATTTTAATTGAAGTTAAATGTGTAGTTATAACTTCCCAGCAAACACAAAACGAATGGCGAATTCTCCATTATATAATAATAATTTTCAGTTAAAAACTATCGACAATTGGAAGGTAAACAGTAGTACATTATTGTAATAATTGCGATCAAATTGTTAGTTGAATACGTTTTCCCTAAATGCCAAGTACCTGGCTAGCTGATTAGTTTATTTTATTTTATTTGTATTTTAATTATTTATATTATTTACACAATACATGCTCCAAGGATTGTCAACAGCGAATAAATTAATGTCCTCCTTGTAAGTGAAATCCATTTCACAAAACAAACACACACGCGATGCTTTACAAGAAATAAATCTCAACAAGCTATTTAACATTATACCCGATAAGGCAAAACTGAAAAAACTTGTGTGTGTTTAGTACACTGATGGTGATAAGGATCATAACTTATTAGGTTGTGTCTGCTTTATTCGAGTCTTATCTTTGTGTAATTTCAGGCTGTTTAGAATCAGGCTTCGCACTTTAGCCATGGGAGGAAACTGCTCCAAGGCAGAGAACATCGAGCCAGAAGACAGGGCACCATTCGCCAACAATAACAAGCCATGTAACAATATTGACTTGCCAAATTTCAACTTGTACGAATCACTGACTGCCCTTGGGGCTCGCAGCACAATCGGAAGAGTTCGCGACGAAGATGAGTATGCGGGAATATTTCCAGCTGAAGACCTTCTTGGTGAGTCCAAAGCATTGCTAGCTAAGAACCTTGATATTTTGAAAGGCACATCCGATTTTACCACAATATTTGCCTTCGAGGCTCTTCAAGCAATTCATGGAACATCGACAAGACATAAGCCTGACGAAGAGAGACAGGTTCTCGGCGACTTTCTGGCAGATATTGGCTACGCGGAATTATTCTTGCGCATGTGGCACTCCTTGGATACCGAGGATCTATATGACGAAGAAAATGGCCGGGATGCTCTGCTGAATCTGAAGAAAATGAAATCTGGTTTTATGAATTTCTCTGACGCTTCTCCGCTGATGTGTAAGAGATTGGGCGAGTGCGGTGCCCTGTCGCTTTTGCTTACTGATCTTGAAGATCCAAGGTTAGAGGTTTCAATGTTGACGGATAGAAGCCGTCGACATGCGGTTAAAGGAACTCTGGGAATTTTACATAATTGCCTGCGCATGCAAGAAGAGAACAGACAACTTCTACGTGATGACTCCGTCATTGAACTCCTTATGAACTTTACACAATCTACATATCTCATAGTAAAAGCTACCTGTTACTTAGTGCTTGCCTATATTGTTGAAGAAGATGATAAGGACGATATTCATGACCAGTGTATTGAATTTCTAGTGCGCATGCTTGAGGATGCCCTGAAGAACCCCGATCATGTCCGGAAACGGTATGGTTTTACCGCTGGAGAAACAATACGTGCACTGCGCCATATGTTGTTGAAAGACTCAAACAAAACGAGAATCAAAAAAAGGGGAGTTCTGCCATCATTTCGGAAGATGTTGGAGAACTCATTTAGCTCAACTGATCAGCTAATTTCTATAGAATGCATGTGGAACATGGCATTTGTAGACGAAAATCGTGAAGCTATACTCAACACCGAAGGGACCATTGAAGGTAGGCCTTTTATTTCTCTGACACATCTTTTTGAGAGGTGGCTCTTTCCAACAGGGGGCTCTGTCCCTGGCCCTTGTCCTGTGGCGGCACTGCTGATTAGATTTTGGTGCAAGAGGATGAAAGTTTGATTCCTGTAAATGCAGTACTTTAAAGGGCTTTTGGGTAGGGCAATTTACTATAATTACCTCGTCAGTCGGTTTGGAGGTTTAGCCGTTGGTGTTATGTACATAATAGCATGTGTGCACGAAAAAGAACTCAGATTAAATGTAGGTGACTACCTTTTAACGTATGACCTACTGCCTATGGTAGACAAAGCACTGAGCTCACTCTTGGTCTTCAAATCCAGGTTTCAAAAAGGACCGCAAATATTACATTTTACATTTTATTTATTAATGTGTACTAATAACTGAACTTCTTATCTGGGGCTGTATGGGAACTGTCTAAAATAATCATTTTACCTTTATTGGCCTGAATTGTCACTGGGGTTAAGCCAAAGGAAATTTAATAATAATAATATGTCATATTTGTTGAAATGAAAATCCTGGGACACAACTTGCGCTTCCCCAAATTAGTATCAGAACAGCGTTGTCTTCCTAAATGAATACTTCCCGTTCATCTTCATATATCTTGGCTTTGGATGTCCGCTCAATGAGACCAAAAACTCCCAAAAACTCAACCAGTGACCTTTTCATTGAGAAGACTTCTTTCCTGTAGGATTTATAACATAAAAAGCTAAAAATTATACTGTCCGTCATGAATTAAAAACTGAAAAATTCAATTTCAAATTGAACTTACAATAAAAAAAAATATATTGAAAAAAAATTCCTATCAATTTACAGACAGTTCAATAATGCCATTGAATTGGCTGCTTATCAGGTTTTAGTGGATTTCGTTTTTGATTTTTTATTAATGCTTTTTTTAATTATTTATATTTCTGCTATATTGTGTTTATTGACCATGAGGTAAGTTATTAACTTGCAATAAAAGATTTTATTGAGGAAAAGCGAGTTTCTTATCAATTAACGGACAGTTCGATAATTCATCAGTTTTTAGTAGTTTTCGTTTTTGATTCATGCCTGTTTTATTGTGTTCATTTCCCGTAAGGTAAAGTGAAAACCTTCAACTAAAGATTTGTAAACATAAAATATTTATTCACAGTAAAGCAGCCAGCGCTGTTATATGTATACAACATACTGAGTATATACCGTAATTCTAGATTTAATTTTCTTTAGCTCAGCATGTTTCTGGAAATCGTTGCTATTATATGGCTGTGCATACGGCAGGGTGCTTGTTTTTTCTGTATGTGCATGTGTCTTGCCGAATGAATAATTCACTAAAATTAATGCCTAAAATATACTCGTTCACAGCACTTCAAGACATAGCAACGAATTGTCGAAATACCAAAGTACAACAGGCTTGCAATGGTGCTCTTTGGGAGATTTTCAAAGGAGAGGTCTCGGAAGTTGAAAGCATCGGTGGGGCCAAAGGGGGTGCTAGATCTGGTAGTCGAAAGATTGTAGAGCACGTAATGATAAGCTACGAAGACTCATCAAAGAATGCAATGAACTCCTTAAAGGAAAAGATAAAATTACATGGTTTCAATGTTTGGATGGAAGAAGACAAAGCAGGTGACGCATGCAAAATCTATTAATTATTATATAATAAATAAAAAATGATAAACATAATATTATGAGGCAGTAGCTGGGCATGGTCTGGATATGGAAGGCCTACTTTTATTTCATACGTCTACCAGACTAACACGACTCTACACTCTATTAAACACAAATGAAATTGATTATTGCACTATTATTGTTGTTATTTATTTTATTATTATTATTGCTATAAGCCAATTCGTAGTTTGAACTGCGCATGTCCTCATCAGGGTTAATCAACATAAACAAACATACACACACAACATAGGCTAATATCGATTGAACTTGAATACCTTAAATGGGCACTTTAATCTAGGAATAGGCTTATAGCTATTATTATTGTTTTGATAATTATTTGTTATTAATGTTATGTTGTTAAATATTATGTTTTGGATATTATGCACTGCGCATTCTAACATGTTCTAACCAAAAAAAAAATGTTCATTCTAGAAGGCGACATGTTAACGTCTATGTCCCAAGCAGTGGAGAATGCTGCAGTAGTAATTGCCGGAATGTCCTCGAAATACAAAGATAATCTGGGATGCAGGACAGGTAGGCATGTAAAGCAGTTAAATTCATCTTCCAGATATTTCCCAATGCGAATGCAGCGGCGGCGATAGGATTTCGCTCCCCGGCCAAGGGGGGGGGGGGTGCTGATCCCCCTGACGAGAGCAAAGTGGGCGTCGCTCAAAATCTAGGTCTAGGGGGCGAATCCTTCAAAGGATTTTAGAATCTACTATTATGTAGAAAATACATATTTTCTCCCCGACGAATTGCGGTTTTTCTCCCCGATGACCGCCACTTATTTGGTGAAATACAAACTAATTGTGTCTTTTCAGATAATTATATTAATGAACGATTTTTTTTAAATAGTTTTTAAAAATTATTTTAAAGGGTTTCCGCAATTTAACAAGTACAATGTATGTTTAATTTGTTGAATCCTAATGATTATTGAGAAAAGCCACTGCCTTTAACATGAATTTATTCTCTCACCTGTTCATTTTTCAGTCAGACATGCTAAAATGATTGTATGTGTTGTTCAATTACTTTTGGATGCTCAATTACAAAAAATGGTCCTTGTTACTATAAACAATAAAATAAAATCCCTCAATAAATATAGACAATCCTACAGATAGAATGTCACGTTATTTTATGGTTTAATTTCCTCACACAGAGTTAACTTACGCCAAGCGACTTGATAAACCTATTATCCCACTGCTTATGGAAGAGAATTATGAGCCAGATGGGTGGTTGTCAGATATCGAACCGACCGAACCTTTGTATCTCTACCTGGACGAAGAACACCTTGCGTCATTTTTACCTGATGTGTTGCACATAATTGAAAGTGTTTCTCCACGAATGGCTACGGTTGCTCAACGAAACAATGAGCGGGAAGAGTTGACTGATGAAGAAGACGTGCATGCAGACAAAGATACAGACGAATGTACAGACGACAGTGTACAAGGTAATTGTTTAATGATACAAATAAGCCTATGTATATTACCTGTTAACTATCGGTGCCATTTGCTCTCAGAAGTTCGACGACCATGGTCTTTGTCCGTTTACATCTTCTGACTTTCTCACTCACTTTATACTTCAACTTTCTCCAGTCTTTGGTGTTACTCATTCAACTTTGGCATTTCTCCGCCTCTCCCTTCTAATTTTCTCTCTAGAAGCTCTCATTTCTTTTGTAACGTAACAGTTGTCAGCTTGTCTGGGCTAATTTCACAATTTCTTGTTCATTCTTTCCATGATATGAAACATATATGTCTACTTTTTAAGAAGCCACATTAAAAAATATATTAATGCTTCTATCCTATCAGCCATTGTGTCCAATATGAAACATTTTATTGCTATTCATATCAACATCTAAAGTATAAAATATAAATTGAAGTTTAATCTAGGTAGGAGACAAATAAAATAATTAAAAGGGCACTACATTTTTTTATATCTCTGACTCTAATCTCTGTTTAGAGTGGTAGTCAGGCTGATAGTCCATGTTTCAGATACACATAGAGCAATTTGTTGACACTTAGTATTAAGTATCCAAAATCAAATAAAATCAAATTAATATATAGTTGTCACCGATGTGTTGATTATAACTATTTTGGAATCAGTAAACTAAGGAATACTGATACAAATTCCTTTTTTTGTTTAAATTATTTGAGTTTTTATCTCATTATTCTAAATCTTGTATCTGAAACAGAACTGGGGGCAGGACCTGCCGGTGCTCAAGCTCTATCGTTGGTGGAAACTGATCAGTACCGCGAACCACCTCCTTACCAATCCCATGAACAAACAGTGCCACTTACGGGAGAGACGGACAAGAAGAGTTATGTCACAGATAAAGCTTTTCAATGGGCGAAGATTGACGTCCAGAAATGGTTGAAAGAATGCGGATTAGGCCAGCTTAGAAAGAAGTTGTCACGTTATGACGGGGAAATGTTAGGTCAACTCTACACAGTATCTCAACATGCTCCAGAATTCTTCTACTCCGCCCTAAGACAGGACCTTGGAATAAAAGATTTGTTAACTATCTTGAAGTTTACAAAGGCAATGGAAGCGTTAGGTATGCATTTTTAGATTGCCGACCATCAGTCGTAGTAAACCTCACTCGCAACAATGTATGTACTTATGAACATTTATAGAGTGAACTTGTTCCCACAATTGTAGATATACAAAGTTTGTAATTATTGTAATTATTAATACTTATATTTTTGATATGCTTCGTAATTCTAAAATTGTATTTTAATGACAATGGGTTAATGAGCATGTAAGAGGCAAACAAATATATTTATCACTCAGAGAGTGAATAAGGTGTGTGTGAATATCTTTGCATCAAACACCGGAATGCTCGAAAGTCTGATACACCTTCAGATTTTGTATGTTATATCTCGTAGTAGCATGCGATGGGAGTCATTAGATGTACAAAAGACTGTCCAGAGCAGAAAATTCGCCTGTTTACTAGATATTTCATTCACACATTTACTAATATAATATCCAACATTTATAGTATTACTATAGGCATATTTCGTTGTAAAAAGAATTGTTCTAAAGCATAATGGAAAACGAAAGACTTCCTTTGCATTGATATTAAAAATGATATTAAAAATTATTATTTCATAAGTGTACAACCATTTTTCGACTGATTTATAGTATTACTATATAGGCTAGCTTGGTCTATATAGACGTGACCTAATTTTGACGCTTTTTGTTTACGGTTTTGTAAACAGTGCCAAGATTCAGGACAGACGCGCTGCAATGATCACTTGGAAACGAACAGGGTATCTTGCGTTTGTGTCTAAGCTGTAAAACTATCTATCATAGTCGAAAAACAATTAATGCGCTTTTTGATCTAGGCTAGGCCTATTTTTATGTAGGCTGCATTTGAAAACGTGTATAGGCCATGTTGTACACGTAATGGTCACTTCCGAAGGATGGTATTCTGTAACCCGTATTTGGCAGGCAAAACACAGGGGTGGAGCCAGGGGGGGGGGCGTTTCCCCCGTCGGGGAGAAAAGCACAATTCGTCGGGGAGAAAAAAATTATATGTATTTTTTTACATATTAGTAGCATCTAAAATCAATTAAATAAGCCTTTGAAACACCTAAATCGCACCATCCCCCCTGTCGGGCAAACCCTGGCGCCACTCCTGGCAGAATAACTTGATGGAATAAAACTAGAGACTGGTATATTGATTACACCAGTTTTAACCAACTGCGCTACCATGATGTCGGTAGTGGTGTGTTTTATTCAAGAGACGTTTATTTTTTGGGGTGTAAATGGATGCGTATAGACTCAAACGTCCCTTAATTTCACTGTAAACGTGGAACTACAGGACATAATTACCATCAAAATGTGTTATTGTGTGATCATAAAGACTTATTGATCCCAAACAGGTATTAAGAGAAATGAAATTCTACTGAAGTAGAATAGTATGTGTTGAGAATGATGTCGCTTCCATTAGTTTTATTCCTTTCAGTCATTTGGCGGTGGGGCATTTATTTGAGGGAGGCGTTTATTTCAAATGAGGCTCTGGACGGGGAATTTATTCTGTTGCGTTTATTTGATGGAGGTTTTATTCCAAATTATGTTCTAGTGGAGGCGTTTATTATTCGAGGGGGAGTTTATTCAAATCGGGGCGTTTATTCGAATATTTATATGGTAATTTAATGGTAGCTGAGTGTAACCACAGCTCAAATGAAATTCTATTAATATCGCAACCTTCTTACTATTTAGCTACCGGTATCAATTTTTATTGCAGATATCCGCAACAGCGCAGAGTTTAGAGGAAATGTCCATAGCTCATACATACCATTGGTTTTAGAAACTTGGTAATGGTTATTAGTGTTTCATGAATAATTTTAATATTGTAAATAATTATTCTATGCTAAGTCTATGAAATTATCACTTTATTTATAATAAAGCATAATAAAGCATGGGTTAAATTAACTTAATGAACAAACATTTATATCGATAATGCAATAGGGCCTATAGAAACATATCGTGTCTAAGTTTAACCATAGACTCTAATGATAAAGTGAATGAATAAAGGAAATAAAAATGCTATTTAATTTGCATATCTTTGAGTACTGCTATTTTTGTCTTCTTTGCTATAGGCCTATTGGAAGTTACTAACTTCAATATCAGTCTACTCCGGCAATAGTTATATCAGCAAATTAAACCTATAATTTCTTAACTGCCAATTCATACTTTCAACGAATTATGCAGTTATTTTACATTTATTAACGTTTTTATCAATATTATAAATGTCAAAAGTATTCGAACTTGTACAGGTCCGGAGTGCCTACCTAAGTGTTGGGTTCAGATTGTGCATGCAATGCTTTGAGGGGACTCCTCCTCACAGCAAGTCTATAAATTTAGTTTTCCGGCATATGCCGGTAAAATTTATACTCATGGGTATACACACGCAAAGTGTCTTGTCCAATGGCACACGCGACAATTGCACGGCGAAAGTTTCGAAACCCCGACTACGAGATTGAGAGTTCGAGCCTCAACCGGTGCGCCCGGTGTCTATAAAACGAAGACCAAAAGACCCAAAAACGAAGGCTCCTATTTTTTCTCTTTTATTTTGATGATAATACACCAGACTGTCACAAAATCAAAATTACGAAATTTTTTGGGCGTCTGTTTGTGAAAGTTTTAAGGGTTTTCGTTTTATAGACACCCTATATGGGTGTCTACAAAACAAAGACCAAATCCCAAAAAACGAAGACCTCCAATTATTTCTCAATTATAGTTTTCAAAATCAACATAAAGACAGTAGTACCTATTTCATTATTTCATCGGAATAAAATGAGGAATATCAAGAAATACTTAAGGGTCTTCGTTTTATAGACACTCAATATGGGTGTGTCTACAAAACGAGGACCGAAGATCCGAAAAGGGAAGACGCACACTTTTTTTTCTCTTTTAAAAAAAATGATACTAGGCCTACACCAGGCTGTCACAAAATCATAATTACGAGGTAATTTGAAATTTTGTTTGTGAAATTATCAAGGGTCTTCCTTTTATAGACACCCTATATGGGTGTCTACAAAACAAAGGCCGAAGACCTGAATAAATAATACAAATAAAACCAACGAATGTTTTACCATGAAATGAAGATAATTACTGTAATTTGTTTTGACTCTCTCACGACGTGAGCCCTGTGTAGGCAACCTATTGTTTGTTTTTTTTTTCTTTTTTTGGGGGGTTAAAAAAACACATTTGAGGGTTAAGAAAGAAGAATAAACATAAGGATTCATTTAATAAATGACTGAAATTTATATTAACCAAGGTTACATTTTAATAAAATTCACCTAAAAACCTAACAGTGATAACGAGCTGCTTCTTGAGTCAAAAAGTTTCACAAGATCAGAGATAAAGACAGTTTGATTGGTCGAACGTCGTGGATATGACGTAAAGGGGAATTACCGACGACAAGCACGCGCTCGAGCGCTGCCGTCCAATCTATAATTTTATTTTTAATAAGTTAGATTAGGCAAGAAATAACTGTATCAATATAGAGATTTATTGTATTTTTGATATTGTATTTGTTTACAATTCTATATTTAAATTTTAACTTTCTTTGTACAAAAAAAATACTAGGTACTACTGTCTGTAGGAAGGTTTTTATTTAGGAAGTGGATTTACGTTGCCGTAAACAAATCAATACGTAAATGAAACAACGCATGCGCAGTCATACTTTAATAAACTTGCATTATCGGTCACGTAAATTTATCGATTGACGTTAAATGTACGTTAACGCCGAGTTCAACTTTCAGCCTGCAAATTAGCATCGGCCTTTTGCTGAATGCTGTACCATGAATCCACGGTGCACGAAAATCAAATCTTCTTGATTATAGTCATGTTAAAATACATTAACTTGACACAACAATTTTTCTTGTAAAAACAAATGGTTTCTACTCTTTAAAAAGCCATTGAACAACACACGATCGAATCGACGGCAAAGCAACGCACATGGGGAATCCCCAAATTGGTTGTATGAATTTTCCTAAACAGTTTAGACTAGCGGATAGGTACAGTATTTAAATTATAATTTTACCGTTCTTACTAAACGTAATTAAATTTACTACAGTAGTAGCCTATGTATTTCAATTAAATAAAATAATTGAATGATTGTGATAATGAGCTAGAAGTATTCGTTTCACTTTCTCACATCATGACCACAACGTCGAGCGGGGCTGTTTATTCCACGTTCTACATCGGTTCTAGGACAATTACCCCCTGGGCATTAACACCCCGGAAAATTATCCCCGGAAAACTATCCCCCAAGGACAATTACCCCCTGTAAAATTACCCCCCGGAAAATAACCTGCCACGGACAATCATCCCCCGAGGACAATCACCACCTGTAAAATTACCCCCCGGAAAATAACCCCCAGGGACAACCGCCTCCAAGGACAATTACCCCCAGGAAAATTACCCCAGGAAAATTACCCCCTCAGTAGATCGCTCCATTTTTACGGTTTACAGCAAATAATTCTATACATTCCTTCTTAATTGAAATGATGATTTGCAAAATGCATTAAAGTAATGTCACTGAGTTTTTGAAATATTGATTGTTCTGTTACAAGTGAAAATAAAACTGAAAACTGAACACTATGTAATATGCTGTTAAAGTTACCCACTTTTAAGGCGGAAAATTGTTGGTGATTGGCAACTAAATTAACATGGAGTGTGATAGAAAATGTAAATAGTTTAATTTCCTTGTTATACGTAGATTTATCTTCGAAACATTTTTAATTTTACAGTACAAGTAAATACCATATATGATGCCAATGGTTTAATAAGCCAAGGTCCACCGAGGAATTTCAATTCAATATGTTTATTGTTGCAAAGCCATTGAGGGCTACCGGTATTACAGAATAATTAACAATACAAAAGTAATACAATAAAAATACAGTAATTGAGGAAGCTTAGCTGCAATATACATAGTATGTAGTACCTGTCTCTTATACACATCTAGATGTGTATAAGAGACAGGTATTTTATGTATTTTCATGGAGGTATTAAATACCTCCATGGTATTTTTTACATCTCCCTGGTCTCACTTTTTCGTAATGATTAAATATCTTACAGAAAACACACGCATTATTCGTTGTTTACTTCTTGCTTCATAGCGCAGAACTTTGTATTTGTGGAGTGGATCATGTGCTCTCCAATATGTTCTTCGCGATCGATCGGGGCTCTGCTCGACCCGACTAAAGACTATAACGATGTTGTTTTTGTTAGTGACGACGTGGGTAAATTCTTCTGAATGAAAACATTAAGATGTTATTTAATTTTTGATGATTGTCGTATAACAATCAGGTACTAGGCTTAGAAGAATATCGTCTTGATTTCGTGGTATAATTGAATTTTAGCAAGGAAACCTCGCGTAGGCCAAGGAGGTATACCTCCTTGCGTAGACCTAAGCCTTGTATTTAGGTCAAGTGTGTTCATTCAACAAATGATTGAGTAAAATGAACAAAACATTTCCAGCTCATAATATCACTTTTATTGAAAAGTTAACACAATGATTTAATAATTTATTTAGTGATTAAACTACATACTGTGCTCTTGTAGAAAATTAAATTACGTTTATAAATAATAAAAAACAAAATTATAAATTAAGTAGTGCCGTGGTAAACTTGGGGGAATCCCCGCGGCTTGGAGGCCACGCAGTGCTGAAAATGCAAGTTTATTAAAGTATGACTGCGCATGCGTTGTTTCATTCACGTAAATATACCGTTTACTGATTTGTTTACGGCGACGTAAATATATCCACTTCCCTTTTATTAATTATGATTAGTTTCCTCGTGACCGAAAGGTCACATGTGTATGGTTTGTTATGTCGGCGCGAGACAAAGCGTACTATAAAATGATAACAAATGTAGGCCTAGTTATAATTTTGTCAATGATAACAGTGCAGTGTGCCGCAAAATGTGGTTATCAGGTTTGTAAATACAGAAAGCATCGATAAATCTAAACATGGCTAAACCGGGTGCAGGCACTGCAGCATTCTTTCAGGGCTAGAGCATAGGCCTAGCCTAGGCTAGTGTTACTGAATCGCTTCGCTAGGTTTACACACAGACGGTTCGTGGTGAAGGCTACGGGACGGTTTCTCCTAGAATTGGCCTATTATTAGGGTAGCCTAGCCAATGATTGGTACGATAACAATACAAGTTATAGATACATGTAGATTGTTGTACAGTCAGTAGGTCTGGACTTTAGACTAGCCAACTATTTCCTCCTGCTAGGCTTCCCATCAGCGAATTAATAGGCCTACTAGGCTAGCTAGGCCTAATTTATTATTTTTTTATTATTATTGAAGACAAAAACCGAAAGGTCCACTGATTAATCTCAGATAAGAAAGTATAATACATTGAAATACACGCCATCGTGTTGGGATTCAATATTTCGACATTAATTATGTCATCATCAGGAATGAATTGGAGACAATGGTTATTATAATTGAATTGTTACACCAGGCTTAAACCAATTCATAATTCTCAAGAATGTTATGGTCCTATCCACTCCATACTTGAACTTGAAAGTTGATGGGTCTTCAGAATAGGTGTATAAGCCTTTTTAAAGTTTTATAACACTACCATACTCTACATAGTGTAATTTTTTTTTTTTGCGTGGATGATATCTCAAAATCAGCTCAAATTTGTGCGGAAAATCGCTGGGAAATTGTAATTGCTGCATAATTGCATTTGTTATGTATTGAGATTTTGTCAAATTTTTGCGCATAGGATATATTCCCCCACGCAGGCATTACTATACAGTATGAAATGGAACCCATACCATCCTTTTTCCTTCAAATATTTATCGGTTACACTTGAATTTACTTTTTACTTGCTTGAAATTGTTGATTGGACTTGTCCACTACTGTATTAGAAAAGTGTTTTCTTATCTGAAGCCCCTTGTGAATTTAGAATTAGAAATTGGTTTAATGTTGGTGTAACAATAGCCATTGCCATTTTGTTATTAGGCAGTATGTAATAAATATTGCAGTGAAGAGGTAAATTATGGGCATTATTTAATTATTTCATTTTTAATCTGGTTTTTAGAAGTTTTAGTAGGTAAAATTTGATTATATTTAGCTATACTGTAGTAGATGTGGTAGGTGCTTTCTAATATTAATTTTTTTTTCTAGTCTTGCACAGGTACTAAACAAGGTGTTGTCAATGTACACTTGGTTCCTCATACACATGATGATGTTGGATGGTTGAAAACAGTTGACGAATATTATTATGGAGGTAAGATCAATTAATAAGGTAACCATCTATTGTAAAATCTGGAAAAATCTAAAAATGTTTAACTACAAAACATTGAGTTGCTCCTACGTATTCTGCCAATGGCGGAGAAAATGTAATAAAAACCCCCAAAAACTGGCAACTTATGAAAGAGTGCCTATAATTTACTAATGTAGTGTTCTAATTATTCATATGAATATCTTACAGCTAACAACAGTATACAACATGCCGGCGTCCAGTACATATTGGATTCTGTGGTGTCTGAGTTGCAGCGGGATCCTGATAAGCGATTCATCTACGTAGAGGTTGCGTTTTTTGAGCGCTGGTGGAATGAGCAGACAGTTTCAACTAAGAATGTAGTCAAAAATCTTGTTAATGAAGGTGCGAGACAATATAAAACAACTTTTTTTTGTTGTATAACAATACTGTACTGTTATTGTGATTAATTTGCCACATTAACAACATATAGAATTTTCATGTTAATATCATGTTTATTATACACTTGTGATCATTGTCAGTGTTTGCAAACACCAATTAGATGCAATATATTCTTCACATATTAGGACGTTTAATGTTCATAAACGGTGGATGGTGTATGAACGATGAAGCCACACCGCATTACAACGCTATCATTGACCAGATGACTCTTGGTCTGCGGTTTCTCAACGACAACTTTGGCACTTGCGGACGCCCGTTAATTGCCTGGCACATTGATCCATTCGGACACTCACGGGAGCAGTCCTCATTATTTGCGCAAGTAAACATTTGTATTATTTCATCTGATTCTGTAATATGTATTCATCTACAAATTTAGGGAAACCACTTTGCATGATTAAAATTAAGTATTCCGAATTCATTATCGCACTTTTCAAAAGTATTATTCAAGGCAAGACTTTTTGAATACCTTGTTTATCCATCCCACCACCCGCCAAAAATGATGATTTAGAATAAAATTTATTTTTGGCCAATTTGCACACCCGCCGCTACGAAAAAACACCAAGTTTTTCCTTATATTTATTATATATTTCTTCCTAATTATGTAAATTTAAGCATTTAACCTTCCCATTACTACACTGTCTACATTCACCAATAGAATTTTATTTTTATTTTCTCCTCCATCTGGATGTTTTTGGCAAAACTATTTGCTAAATAAGTAAACAACATTTAATTTTTATTTTTTTTCCGCCCTCCTCTCACGATTCTTAAAAAAATAAGTTTGCGAAACGCTGTATATAAAAGGTATCGCCTAAATAATAATAAAAAATTTTACATATAGGAATGCAGTAAGTCATGCGCTATATATTTTTTAATGACAATCTGCTATTTAAACAATGGAAGGCAGTGTGTAATCAATCGCTCATAGAGTGGAGATGGATTCGTCGACCGGCGGTCAAATGACCGTCGTACAATGCAATGTGTGCCCAGCTTTACACCTAGAATCTCATTTCTCTTTACAGATGAGCTTCGATGGGTTTTTTTTCGCCCGAATCGACTATGCAGACCAGTCTGAACGAGAAAAGACGAAAACCATGGAGGGAGTGTGGAAGAGCAGTGTGAATTTGGGTTCAGCAGCCGACATGTTCTTTGGCACCCTCTACGGCCCCCTGTACGGGCCACCTCATGGGTTTTGCTTTGATCAGGGATGTCATGATCAACCAATACAAGTACAGTTATTACATTTTTTTCAACCATAACCCTTTTAGAATTTGGGCAGAAGTTTGTTTAAAACTTGTTTATTTTGAAAAAACATCAGAGGAGGGCAAATGGAATGTTAATGAAATTTGTTTTTATTATTAGCCAAAGGTTTCTTCCAAAAGCATCAAAGTGCAAGAGAAAATAAATATAAATTTTATTGAGGAATAAAAATAGAGTAGGGTAAAGGTTTTGTAAAAATATATTTGTTAACGACATTGCTCAGGATCCTATTGCATGGTTGTAAAGAGTGATGTTGATACTTGACAGTTTTGGAATCGTGGTGATAAATGCTTTATAATCATTTAATCATGAGTAAGAAATAAAGATTTTTTAATGGGAGATTTCATGGCATCAGTGGGTGGAATAATAATAATGTCATCTTCTTTGGTGCACGTATCCATTTCTAACAGAGCCCTTTTTCTGCATTTTTTTAATTTATTCATTTATTTATTTTTTTTGTGTTTTAAATTTATTATAACAAACATATAGTATAAAAGAAATTGTTAATTTCTTTATCTGAATTTTTTTCCCCCAGCAGCAGAAAAATATAGGATTATTAACTTTTTTTGACATTACTTGTAATAAACATAATTAATTGTAATAAACAGTGTGTAAATACAAATTGATAATTAAATGAATTATTTAATATCAACATAATGATAATTTTTTTTTGTAGGATGATAAAAATCTCTTTGACTACAATGTTGACCAGAGAGTAAAGGATTTTGTAGCAGCTGTACAGGATCAGGTAAGGTTACTTGCAGTTGTACATTGGTATACACACAAGATGACATCATTGCCAGGCACAGATCCAGAGTGAGAGATAAAATATTTTCAAAAATATTAAGTGATTGGAGCGACTGGTAGACTGGCGAATTTCAACTCTCGCCTTTATTCAGAAATGCCACCTGCCTCTCAACCAAAGACAAAAAATATAGATAAAATAAATGCAGTACATTTTTGCATTGTCTAAATATTAATTAAAAAGGGTGATGATCATAGTTATATGTCCATCATGGGTGTACTTATGATCTACAGTATTTTGACAGCTTCTGTTTACTTGTGTGCCATTTATCTTTTTTTCATTTAGGCCAGTCATTACAAGACCAACCACATCATGATGACAATGGGATCAGATTTCCAATACGAAAACGCTAATGCCTGGTTTAAAAATCTCGACAAACTCATTAAATATGTTAATGCCAAAGTAAGTGGACATATTTGATAATAAAGGTAATATTTTTACAAATCAGAAGCACATTATTTATTGTGAGAATAGTATATGTAGTTGATTGAAACTAGCAGTTACCACTGACCAGGTACTTAAACATCTGATTCTTCCTATGAAATACAGCGCACAGTTTTTTTGGAAGAGTTCAGGCCATATTATGTCCTGGGTAGCAATATGATGACCAATATGCATCATAAGAAAACAGTTTTGGAAAAGAATAAAACAACTGTATTCAGGTGTACCTTCCTGTAATTGTGCGTCTCCCCACTTAAGAGTATAATGAGTTTCTGCTAGAATAATTCTATCAGTAACTCTATTTTTTGGCATTCTTTCTTCTTTTTTCCTTTTTTTTTATTATTTATCCTGGGGGACTGCTCAGGGATAAAATCCCAGGTCCTCCACAGATCCCAGCAAAGGAAATTGAAGGTACAGTATTAGTT